AACCCCCCTATCCCCCCCTTATCTACGCCCCTGCTGAATAATCATGGAGTGCTGAGATTTGTGGTCCTCTATAGCTGGTTGACATTCTCCATTGCTGAATAATCATGGATTGAGTTACAGTTCTTCAGAATTATAAAGAAACTGCCCTAAAATCATTAGTCTTTATTGTTTTAGAAATAATGTCACATGTTCTTTTAAGAAAAAGTATTGGTAATTGGTATCGGCAAGTACCTGAGGAAAAGTATTTGTACTTGTTCTTTAAAAAAATGGTGTCGGGACATCCCTAGTAGAAATATTATATACCAAATATTTATATACTAAGCCCTCGTTCACACCTCTGCCATGTGACATTGCAGAGATGCTGCAGGGTGCTATGTGGTGTGCTGCATTAGGGCAGCCAACCAGAGGCAAATCACATTCAAAGAAATACAAGCACCTTTTTTTTTTTCAATCGCACTACATCGCATGGTAATAGGTCACCATGCGATGTGATACGATACAGTGCACATACAATTACTAGGTGCTTTTGGGTGCTGTTAAGAATATTGGCACTGCAGTGCACCTAACACTGCAAGTTGCGATGCAGGATTGTGTGCGGTATCATACATAATCCTGCATCAAGAAGATGTAAATGGATCCTAAATGAACCTGGGAAGGTTTTAAAAGTATCACAAAGATGTGAATGGATCCTAAATGAACCTGGGAAGGTTTTAAAAGTATATTCCATATGTCAGTAGGAATAAAGAGCACCTCCACCGCAAGGGAGGGATGCACTAGCGGGAAAGGGGGTGGCAGGCATGCACCACGTGACCCAATGAGATGCCACCTAAGGCAACTGCCTCAGGCTGACTCATTATAGAGAAGGCCCTGATTACATAAGCAGACCTATTATCTCTGTGGGCAAAAAATGTTACATGTAATCAACCATAGTGTTCCCTATGATAGTCTGCATATGCATGGGTTGGGCCATGTACTTCTTTTTTTTCAAGACCTTCAAAATATTTCAACACAAATGCCCATGCTGCATAGAAAAACTGAAGAAAATAAGTCAGATATATAGTTTTAGTTTTCTATCGTTTTCATTTTCTATGCAGGTAAAAAAAATGGGCAGACACATCTTACTGATTGCTACCACAATTTCCTTATCTTCATCTTTTTTATGTATGGAAGGGCTCTGAATGTATACAGCTGCTCCTCACTTAACGACCTCTCAGACTTACGACCATCTCCCCAACCAGTCAACAATAGCGTACACTGTATGAGAACTTGGGTCAAGCTCATCTTGCGTCACCCTTTCTCAGTTGTCCCCCAGTCAGTCAGGTCAGTCAGTATTCACTACTGCACTGTACATTACTATTCACAGTATGCAAACATTAGCAATATACTGTTTATTAGAGCTGATTTCCTCTATTCCTCACTTAGCGACCATTTCGCTTAGTGACCAAGTCATAGGAACGGAACTCAGTATTTAAGTGAGGAGTGTCTGTACTATGGTCTATGTAGATATTTATTATGTACTTGTTATCATTGTGTTTATTGTGTTTAAACCTAGAACTGCGTCAGAGGCAAGAGATGATGATAAGAAATCAAATAATGCCTGTCAACCCTCAGGTAGTGGTGCCAGCTCAGCAGAGAATGCCGCTGATGCCAACACAGTTTGAGCCACGGTTGTTGGACAGGTGCCATTTGCTCCATCACTAAAGGGATTAGAGTATTATTGCATTCTTGTGTTAAATAAAGTATACAATATACAACAAGGAACATTGATGCATCACAGCAAATATAACAGGGCTGATTTTAAGAAAGCAATGTCAAGCCAGAGACAAGCAGGGCATATTGAGTTCTATAGTTTCTCTAGTCTAGAGGGTAAACCTGTGCTTTGCTCATTTAGGGCAAAGTAACACGTCCCAGATCCCCAGCAGTAGATATGCACATTTCCTTTGCTGTCCTGCTGTTCCATTCAACATTTGGTACTGAAGGAAATACCTGGTACTTCTGTCACAGGGGAGAACTAACTATGGAAGCCTATACCTTCCATAGGGTTTTCCTTTACTCCAAGCATCTGAACAGAGCAGTGGGGGAGTGAAGGAAGGGTAACTGTGTGTCAGTGGAGGTCTGCATTAAAGCAGAACTCTGGGCAAGTTAAATCTTAATCCTTGCAGTAGGGTTATCCCCGCATTGGAAGGGTTAAGTGCTTCAACTGTCTAAGAAGCTAAAATAAAGTTATATTCACCCAAACCACAATCCCGGCTTCCTAGGCCGCTGGAGTGGAGGGGAGCGAGGCTGAAGGGACTGGTCTAAGAGCAAGACACAATCGTGATTCAGGTAAGTACAGCTTGTTTTTTTTAGCTCGCTAGAAAAAATGAGCACTTAACCCTTGCAGTGCGGGGGTAGCCCCACTGCAAGAGTTAAAATGTGATTAGCCCAGAGTTATGCTTTAAAGTCAATCTGTTACTTTTCCCCGGATATACAAAGCACAAATTCACTTTAAGATCAGTGTGCCTGATACAACAAATGTCAGTAATCCAAGGGTTTCTGGAAGCTGCCATTGATGACCACTCCATCTGAACATACTAGTTCTTTACCTGTCATCCATTGCTTTAGTATTTTGTATCATCTGGAAAGAGTATGCATTTTTGGAGCTCTGACTTTACTGTTTCTAATCCACATGCTTGTTCTAGATGTAAATGCCTTGAAACCAACACCGCCTAGGCAATTTATCACTTAAAAGGTCAGCCTTATTTCTCTCAACATGCTTCCTTTAACAGTCTGTAAAACTAATGGAATGCATTCCTGAGTAATACTTCGTAGATGAACCTATACTGTATCTGAGTCTTCCGGAATATGCAAACTTTGATAAGGAAAATAGACATTTATTGGAAAACTAAGCCATGGTGTAAACATATCTGGCACTGTTACCAATTAAGATTCTATTCATGTTTTTTAAACAAATTTAGTACATACATTTATTTTTATTGAATATGCAACAAAAGAATCTTAACCAACAGTGGGAATTTGTATTGTCCCACTCCCAGGACTTCATAAATCCTGAGGAAATGATATGTGTGTAAGTTTGTTGTGGGACTAGCACCAGGCAGCCCCAGGGGTTTGGTGATGGTAGCCTCCAGTGCAGGTTAGGAGCCTTGAATGATAAAGGTATAAGGGAAGTGTCTTATGTAGCATGGCTACAGTGTCCACATGATATGGTTGTACTTGACTGTTGGAGAAGCCTTTTGACACATGAATGCAGTTCAACATCAGTTTCTACATTTATATGTGTAGAAATGTTTTCTCTTGTCTTGCAGCACTGAGGTGCTTGGGTGTGTGTGTGTGTATGACTCTGGTAGGGATATTACACGGTGTGAGGGAATCAGTACCATTATTTAAATTACGTTTCAAATTAGCTTTTCAACACACATAAAAATTACCGATATCAGGCAAACAATAATATGATTTCTTTATGTTAGGGGGGAACTGCTACCATCATCAGATTTAATCATTCCCAGCGACACAAGACAACTACATATGGGGTCCCAGTTTGGTTCATCAATTCCCAGCCATTCAAGCATCATGTCCAATAGAAATTTCTCAAGCCCAGGTAAAGACAATAACACACATTTCTGTGGCAAGCTATTTCATTTTGTATAACTAAACATTTCCTTATAAATGATACTGAGTTACTATTTTTCATTTTGCAAATGATTAAATGAATGAAGAAAGCTATTATTCCCATTTATTTAAGGATATAGCAGCTTTTTCCACACAGAGCCACTGGATTTCATGGCCAGGAGACAGGAACTGCTGCAGAAGCAAAATATGACAAGGTACGTTCATGAAAGAATATTGCAGTTTGGTTATTGATGGATTTTTCTCTAGATAATTCTACTTTATATTGCTGAAGCAATTGTTGAGTCACAAAAAGTTAACTGTACAGGCCAGCGTGCCCACAAATACCTGTGGTAATAAGGACTGCTGAGTAAGAGGGTCTATTTGGGAAATAGAATTTTGGTATGACCCCTGCGCAGTGTGCAGCTTCTAAGAAGATACGCTATTAGCGTAGCGGGGAAGGTGGCTGCGCATTTTGCATCACTCCGGCTACGCTAATAGCGTATCTTCTTAGAAGCTGCACACTGCGCGCGCCGGTTTAAGTAGTAACTTAGTAGTAGTAACTAATTATAAATAATATTTTGGGCAATTGACTTCTTTAGTAAAAAATACTTTTTGGGCATAAATGCCAACAGAACTGTGTTCCACAAGGAAAATAGCATGACCTTTTTTATGAGAAACATTATAATAGAGTAAAATATAGATATTCTTCTGTCTGTCTTACACTTTCTTCTCTACAACCAGGATGGATGTGGAAATGAATGCTATGTATCACCAAAGAGAGGTAGACAAGGCACATAGGAAAGGCTTTATGGATATGGACTCACCATTCCTCTACCATGGAATGCCACCTAACCCAGTGGCTTTTAGAGGCAGACAGATGTGTCTAGAAGGCCAGTTGCCATCTGATCTCTTTGTTCATCGTAACACGTTAGAGATACTTCATGGCAGTGCTCTTTTGAAGGCTGGCAGTCCCTATGCTCCCATAAGTAATCTGCAAAGAGAACGAGCTCGAAGACCAGGCAGAAGAGCTGGCAATCAAAAGGTTTCAGAGACTTCCATAGGCGTATCCAAAGTCCAGCTAGAAAATAAACCACATTCCTCCCCAAATACTGCCGACGAGGACAAGGAGGAGAAAAAAGAAGAGGACTCTGAGACTTTCAACAAATGTGATCAAGGAAAAGTACACACAGGCCCTGCGATGGATAAGAGTGCTATAGAAATCCCAGATAGTCTGGAGAAGACAAGTAATTCCACTCCTATAGAGGCAAGCAGAGGAAGAAATGGTGCTGACAAGGACCTTACCAATCCTGGAACAGCGTTTGAGGACAGATTAATTTACCAGTCCCCTGTTCCCATCTCAGCAAGTCCATATGGTTTTCAAGTAACCATGAACCCATCCCTCCTTCCAGGTCTGTTCTTCTAACTTCCTTGCAATAGTAATCTATCAAATTATATTTTAACCTCTATTTCCATTAATTTGATATTTTAACAGGAGCCCACAGCCTCTTCCTGAACAGAGAAGATATTCCAACTATTCAAGATATTTGTAAATGGACTTCTCAGGATGTCTATAACTTTATCTGTAGCTTACCTGGCTGCTCTGCCTATGCCCAGGTAAATGTTTTATATGTGATTGTCCCGTTTGATTGTCTACAATCTTCACCTCAGAAGGTTTTATATTAATGACCCACATCAACATTGATTGTGGTAGATATGTCTGCCTGTCTGTGTTCGCCTCAGCCCAAGTCACCCAAGTCAACCCAAGAGACATCATTCATCTCAATGACCAGAGTCACTGTCAGTGTAAATTGGCACTATTTTAAATCAGAACATTGTTGACTGAAAGCTGCAGAACTGTGTAAAAATACAGTATATTGGTATACTATTATGTGTATGTTTGGCCACTGAGGGGCGCTGTAAAGCTTTCTCGCACAGGGCGCCTAAAGGCCTAAGGCCGGCCCTGGTATGTTTACCCATATGCCCCTATGAATTGGGATGTGAATGCAGCCATACCTAGACAGAGGTGATGGCATTAAGTATAGTCACTGAGTATGGATTCATCCTCAGTTTTATGTAAGTGCATACACTATGCGGCTCAAATGCGGCTAGTTAACTCTTAATAAGACTCCATTCATTAAGTCAGATATATAGATGCCACACAAAAATAGATCAAAATGCACTTTTAATATTCTCTGCACTACTTACTGCATA